CCTGGTGCATGGGTGGGGGCCGGCTGGTTTGCCCTGAAGGGTGTCCCGGATCATGGTGGGGGTCCTGCTGGGGTGCCTGGGCAGCCTGGGTGAGGAGCTGATGGCTGTTTGCAGGCTGGTCACACCCCCTTCAGGGTGGGGGTCCCCACTGGGGTGCCTGGCCAGCCTGGGTGATGGGCTAATGGCTGTTTGCAGGCTGGTCACACCCACTTCAGGGTTGGGGTCCCAACTGTGGTGCCTAGCCAGCCTGGGTGAGGGGCTAATGGCTGTTTGCAAGCTGGTCAAGCCCCCCCCCCAGTGGGGTCCCTCACCCCATGGAGGTTCGGCCAGCCTGGGTGAGGGGCTGATGGCTGTTTGCAGGCTGGCCACACCACTTTAGGGTGGGGGGTCTCCACTGGGGTGCCTGGCCAGTCTGGGTGAGGGGCTGAGGGCCGTTTTCAGGCTGGCCAAGCCCCCAGGGTGATGGAAGCTCCCAGCCTCTCCTTTTTTTCTTTTCTTTTTTATTCTGGGATTTATTTACCTTTTATAATTGAAACTTTGTAGCCTTGAGAGGAGCTCAGAGCCAGCCAGAGCGGGCAGGAGGGAAGCCTCCTGCTGGCTCCAACTCCGTGGCCACGGCCACCTGAAAGCAGGTATCTGGGGTTTATTTATCTTCTATAATTGAAACTTTGTTGCTGTGAGTGGAGCTCAGAGCCTGCCGTGGCAAGCGGGAAGCTTGGCTTCCTCCATCATTGTGGCAACCAAGCCTCCTGCTTGCTCCAGCTACGTGGCTGCCAGCCGCCATCTTGGTTGGGTTAATTTGCATATTGTCACCCTGATTGGCTGGTGGGTGTGGCTTAAGGCATAGCGAAGGTACGGTCAATTTGCATGTTTGTCTTTTATTAGTGTAGATAACACTGGTTTCTGAAATATTGTTACTTGTCATTGTAAGATGAAGTGGAAGTAAAAAGATCTATAGGTATTTATTTTGACCCATGGAATTCTTACAAAATGGTAAACATAACTAACAGTAAGCAATTTCAACTATGTGAATAGAATGTTTCACGTAGTAATTATAAAGTTCTTAAAATATTGTCTGGTGAATGACACCTCACATGTGTCATTCATCTGCTCTTAACATACAGATTCTATAATTATTTTATTCCAGCTATATTTTTCTACATAGTAAATTATAGGCCTATCTTCACTAGAAATTAATCCGCCTCTACATTGAACAAGAAATGAGTGTATAGCAATAAGTCATAACTATTTTAAAATAGAATTTCTCAAACTTCATTCATTTGACCATCAGCTTTGTCTTTTTTTTTTCTTTTTTTCTGTATTCATGTGCTACCTGGACTGTTATAAACCTGATTTGTTTTCCTTTAAACTAAATTGGTTTTTCATTTATTGTTATTCTAACAAAAATACCAATGAAATTAAAACATGATTTTACACATTATACCTTTAAATACACTTTCAAATAAATATAAGACTATAAAATAAAAATTATTTTTCAAAGTAATACCTAAATTTAGCACATGCACCTTCATTGGCATACAGACCATACTTTCAAAGCACAGCTCTTGTTTCAAACATACTTTAAATGAACGTGTTACAAGGTTTAGCAATGAAACTCTGAGGAGTGGAGCACATTTATAAAGATATTTCAATTACGACAGAACCCATTCTCCACCCTCCTACTTGTGGTGCCAAACACTTCTCTCCAGTAAATAAATGTGCTGCATTATTAATAAATGGGTAAAAACCTCATGAATTTTATAATAACAGAAACTCATTTAATTTCAATCCTTAACACAAATGGTCCTTTCACAATGATGCCAATAAACTCAGTAAATAAAGCAGGGTGATTAACTTCAAAAACAATTTCTTCCTATTTTTTTCTGACATAAAATATGAAAGTCAAGGCTTGGCGTGATCAATGCAATACTTTTTGATTAAAGTAGTTGCATTTTGTGTTCTTTTACATTCATTCGAAGAATGTGTCTTTCTGTGTTAAAGATAACAACCTTACCATTCAAATTTAACTTTAGTATTTTATATCTATTTTGCTTCTTGTTTGTTCAAATAAATAGCTACATTTAAATTGAAATTATTAAAAAATTTAAATACAAGCCTGAATAATCTACATTAATGTTTTTTGCACTTAGATACAGCAGGCATAGTGTACGAAAAAGTCCCTTTCTATTTTAATTGTGTAGAAATGCTAGACATTACTCTCCATGAATTTAGGCACTGTGATCTGAACAATACTTACTTTAAATGTTCTTGCAGCCTAAATTACCAAGTCCAAAGGAATCTCTAGCTAAAATAAAAATAGTTCTTTCATATAACTACCTGAATAAAATATGTTTTCAATTTTATAACAATTTAAATATCTCAGCATATAAATATTTATTGTCACGCTACTGAATTCATGATTGTATTTCCATTTTGTGCTCTAGCATATTATTCTTTATTGTGTATGTAGAGCCTTGGACCTGAGGAAACTTCTTGTTTTAAAAATGATTTACTTAAACTGCGTTTAATGGAAAGCAGATGATAATAGAGTGAACTTTTCACATCACATGAAAATCTTCACTGAAAATTCTTAGATCATATATTATACATACATATTCATTTATATTCATTTACAAAATGTGCCTATCTATGTTAAAGATGACAACCTTACTGATTCAAACTTCACTTTAATATTTTATGCTGATTTTGCTTTCTATTTGTTCAAATAACTAGTGAATATAAATACAGTGAAGGTTATATTAAACATTTTTATGTTTCTCTTTCTTTAAATTCTGAAGCAAACATGAGTTCTTTTTTTTTTTTAAAGATATTTTTATTGATTTCAGAGAAGAAGGGATAGGGAGAGAGAGATAAAAACATCAATGATCAGAGTGAATCATTGATAGGTTGTCTCCTCTGTGCCCCAACGGGGAATGGTGTCTGCAACCCGGGTATGTGCCCTTACTGGGAATCAAACCGTGACTGCCTGGCTCATAGGTCTATGTTCAATCACCGAGCGACACTGGCTGGGCACAAATATGACTTCTTGAAAGATACTTTTATAAATGTAATCAGCAAAATAGTCTTTAAAGTGATAGAATTTTATGTGACTGACATTTCTTTTATTACTTTCCAAAAATCCATTGAACAAATATCACTGAGGAATGTTATGCATGCATGTACTATTCTAGGCACAAAGAATGCAATATTAATAACAAAGAGTTCCCTGCTTCATGTTGCATACAATTTAAGAGGGGATATTTAAAATCATTAGTCCTTTCTTTATGAAGGTGAAATTTTGAAATATGCAATTTGGTTACTGAAAATATCAACCTCTAGTATGTAAGTGAAGTTTTACAAGGCTATAAATGCAGCTTTGGCCTGTTTCTGCACTATCACAGATCCAGCTCAAGCTGTTCTTCAGATGCTCTTGTGTTGGTGTATGACCACTCCCCTCAGTATATCAGCTCTCAATTTACTGTAGGCTTATGAAAGTTGCTTAGATTTTGATTTTTAAAAAGAAACTTAAAAACATATATAATGGTGTAATTGGCAGTACCTTTATATTATACCAAAAAAATTAAGATCTTCAACCCACTTTTCCTTCTTAAATAAAAATAATCAAAATGAGATCAAGAATTTCACAATTAGCCTGGCTGGTGTGGCTCAATGGTTGAGCATCGACTATGAACCAGGAGGTCAGGGTTCGATGCCGGGATTGTGGGCTTGGTACCCATTGTGGGGCATGCAGGAGGCATCTGATCAATGATTCTCTGTCATCATGGATGTTTCTATTGCTCTCTCTCCTTCCCACTCTGAAATATATATATATGTACTTTTTAAAGATATTCACAATTATTATTTTAATAAATTCTCTGTCATCATTGATGTTTCTATTTCTCTCTCTCTCTCCTTTCCTCTCTGAAATATATATATATATATATATACTTTTTAAATATATTCACAATTATTATTTTAATAAAGAGAGTCTGCAGAGTTTCAGGTATTGGCTCTTTATTATAAAATCTCCATTGAAGTAGAAAGTAAAATATGATGGCATATTTATAGCATTATTTTGAAGGATGAAGGACAGTATATAAGTATTTTATATAGCTTTGTGAGTAGTTATACTTTCAGGCAATTTTTTACAGCTGTATTTTTATTACTTTTATGAGGAATTTTATTTTTACTTCTTTACCAAACCCTGAAGGTGCTTTCAGGAATTCAATTACTGGAAATTCTCAGTGTCTGATTCTAAGACTGATAAACACACAATACACACACACACACACACACACACACACACACACA